CAACCAGTTTTTCCTGTAAATGTGGTCTACAGGATGAGTACTTGTAACATACACAGCTGGTCATCTTCCTTTGCTGTTATGTCTAAAAGCAGCCATATGTCATGAGCAAGCCTCTTATGTATGTTGAACTTCCTTAGCACATCAACTTGTCTCTCTGAATATGTTACCTGATGTCTTTAAATTGGCAAAACACTGAAAAGTGGGTCCTCCTGGTCTCTTGTACTTCAGACTAGCAGGAGGTAGGAAAATTGCAGAGACAGGGCTCCTAGCCCCTTAGGATGTACCTACCCTAGCATTTTTTTAAATGTTCTTCTGTTGCAGCTCCACTAATGGTAAAAATGGCTCAGAGCAGATCAGCACCCCAGAGGCCTGTGCCCTGTGTGTAGGCGAGATGCACAAGTGATAGAGTACTGGAGAGAGCTTAACCAAAAACACGTGCGCTTGAGGGTTTTGTTTGCTATTAAATCAATAATGACCCCTCCATCTCCCTCTGGCTATCTGTGCAGGTCCTTCTGTTGGTGCTCATCATCTTACTACTGGAGCACCTCCCAAGTAATTAACAAGGACATAATATCTCTTCCTACCCAGCAGGTAGGAGTAAATGCTTGATTAGAATAAATATGTGTATGTGTCTGTACATAAGACAGAAAAGCTCCTATGAGAAAGCTAGATCAAAGAGATGAGTTTTCATTGAGTTCCAAATGCTGTGAGTTCAGGGGCTGAAATCAACAGGAAGTTGATTTCATCTCCATGAAAGTTTCATCTCCTGAACTCAAAACACTTCCTATGTCCTCCACTAGTTGAAAATTATATTCTGGTCTTGCAAGGGGTCATGGATATTGTAGGAGGAACAATGTCTTGGGTAGCTGGAATCAGTCCTGTTGAGGATTTTTGAATGGGATTCTTGCTCAGCAAGTAGTTAGTGCAAAGGGAGGAGCACTAGGATGATGTGCTCACAGCAGCTTGTGTTGCTAATGTGTTCTGTACCAGTTGGAGCTTTCTGTGAACATGTCTTCTGGACTGCTGTAGATGGAAGTTTGGGGCCATTCAGTATCAGTGAAGATTCTGAGGAATATCTAAGACCATGGAACAGCTGTGACAAACTGATGGCACAAGGAGGACATTTAGAGGTGGGGGAGCTCTTCAGAGCACTTCCTTCTTCTTACGAGCAACCATTTTTGGCTAGATTAATTTTTAATCAGAAACCTAGGGAGTGGTGTTAATGACTGAGAAAAGTCAAAAGAATAATGGTTGTGCAGTAACATGTGGGGTGGAAGTAAAGCACAGTAGAATATTCTTTAAATCTCTCCATTCCTGGTAGTCCAAAACATTTTACACTCACTATTTCTGAAAGTGAATTAGATCCTATTGGCTTCTGATCAGAAGCTCCTTTTCTGGCTTCTCTGAATTAACCTTCTTGATAACCAAATATACCAGCGCTGTATGGAATTTCATAATCCATATATCCACCTGAGTGAAACTATTAGATAACTATACACACTATAACTACCATGCCTCAAAACAGACATCTATGTTAGGCATACGTGGCACTGACACTGTAATTAACAGTTTTCTCATTTACTAGAACCAAACATACTAGCAAGGCCAAAAATAGAAATGAAAAATGTTTAAACCCATACAGAAATACATCAGATAAATGGCCGCTCAGTGAAACATATCATAGGTTAAAATCCTAGATATAATTTTGCAAATAATTTGGCAGGTTTTAAACTATGAAATGCTGTAAATGTGCTCCTTAAATATTCTGAGAAAGAGGAGCTATGTGATGTCATTCTTCAGTGCATACCTGCATAGTTAAGGCTGCAATGACACTTGTCTGCAATAGATTCAGAATGATTCAGAAACCATGTAAAGCTATGACCTGTGCCTTTAATTCATTTCAGTCTGGTTCCATCCTGATGAAGTGATCTATCATCATTGCTACCATATTACAGAATGTATTCTTACAAGAAAGTTTAGCCACTTCAGGGGTGACTGGACTAGCATCGCTTGGCATCCAACAGTGTAGAGACTAAACTATAGTTTTAGTTAGAGTATATGGAAACTGACAACAAATTATTGCTTGTGGTCCCTTTCCAGTTTTCAAGTGCAAACATACCAAAGTTTATTTTACATCTTAGCCAGGCAGACATTTAGTAATATAGATCAAAGAAGAAATGAAGGCCTCCCATGTTTATTATTTCAATATGATGTCTGTTCTAATAAAGTGTAAGAATGCATGTGATAGACTAGTAGGAATTTTCTGGTTCTGTAGTTTAGCCTTAAATATATACATATATTTGTAAATTAATCAGAAACATATTGCAGTGGTTTCAGTTCCTCAGAATGCTGATTGTTTTCAATCCTTTCTTTAATTTTAGAAATATGGTGGCTGTCTGCCAGAACACTTTCATATAAACAGTCCACTTCACATTTAAAAAGTCATAGAATCACTGAGTTTTCAACCCCCCCCCCCCCCCAAAAAAAAAACAACAAAAAA